TCTGCACCCCTCTCATTCTTCTTCTTTTTATTTTTCTTATTTATATTTTATTTTCAATTTCATTTTACTTTTAATTGTTAAAATCATTTTAAAAATTAAAAAAAAATATACATTTCTAACACTTTGACATCTTGAGATATTTTTGGTGATTTTTATTTTATTTTATAATTATTTTTTCAATTTTATTTGGAATTAATTTGTGAAGGTGTTTCCATGTTTTCCCTTTGAATTAGGGTTTGATCTTTTGATGCCTTTTGTGTGACTTCTTGAACTAATTTCTCTACTATGTTTTGAAACTTAAATGATTAATCTTTTGATGCTATTTTGATGCTTGGATGATGAATTTTTGGTTGCTTTTCAACTGGTTTTATTTGATCCTTGATGCATGCTCGATTAGTGACCTACATGAGTTTATTTGACTTGATTTGATGATGCATTTATGCAATCCTTTTGGGATTTTTTCATGATTAATCTTGATCTTCTTTACTTGAATTATAACGTTGGATCCATATTTATTTGGAATTTTTCTATTTTTGGTTGAATTTTCAATTTGATGATGTTTTGAGTATGATTCTTGAATGTTCTTGACCTAGTTTCTTAAGATTGTTTTCTTGGGTGATCATTTGATGTCAATGAATCTTGATTTCTTTGATTGAATTGTTTAAGGTTCTAACCTTCATGTTTAGATGTCCATTGTATGATCACTTTGCTTTACTTGCCTCACATGATCATTTATTTCTTTTATGGATGACTTGAGTTGATGATTGTCTAGTTTCTTGTTCATGATTTGAATATGATTCTTCTTGAGATTTCTTGATAACTTCAAGTTGTTTTTGAATTGATTTTTTTGAGTATGCTTCTGAATTTCATGCTTTAATGTTCATTACTTTATCCTTTGGTCTTTACACCTTGCTTGAATTCTTGCTTTCTTTTGAGGATGATAATGGTGCATGCTTGCCTAGTTTTGATGCATGTTTTGAACTTGATCTTTGTTGATTCTTCTTGTTATTCAAAAATTGATTTTTTAATTGATATTAATTTTCATGCTACTGCCCCATCTTAATTCCATTCCCTAACCTTATTGCTTGAACCATTTGTGACTTGTTTTCATGAGATAATGGTTTACTAATGCATAGTCTTTGTTGTGGTTCATATTGGATGATGTTGTGCTTCTCTTGTTGTCTTTGAATTTAGTTAATCATGATGTGATGTGAGTTATGACCTTTCTTGATCCTTGTCTTGTTTGACTCATGTTGTCTTTGTATGTTGATCAATGGTGCTTGATTATGACTCTAAGACGTGTTTGCTTGTGCACTTCTTTGATTGCCTTTGCTTTTCTATTTGAGCTTGAATGTATGAGCATGTTTTGTGATGATTGAGAATGTGTATGTTAAGTGTGTTCTTTATACATATTTAATGTTTTGATTCATATGATAAGCATACTTTGACTTTAACCTTAATGTTGACACTTAAGCATTGATGTTTGTTTCTTTTTACATTGTGTTGCTTTGACACCCTTCTCCTTTTCATCCCCTTTCTTCTCCTTTGAGTTTTGGATTCCTTTTGTTATTTAAGATTGATTTTTTTTAATGTTTAATTGTGCTTAATCACATGTTCCATTAAGGCTCATAGTCCAACTTAATTGATGATTAAGTTTGGAGTATGATAGACATTAAGCTCTCAATCCTTTGTATGACAATATTAGGTTAACTCCCTCTTAACCTCAATCTTAGGTCCATCTTTGTATGATAACATAGGTGGATTTTCCTTTCTCATTCTCAACTATAGGGTCATATTGCATGATAACATCTAGGTGAGTTTCTCTTAGATTTCCTCCGTGCCCTTTGAGTCTCTCTTCTTTCTCAAAACAAAATTAAAACACTTAATAAATACGATGAGTATTGTGCGTCACGAGCCTTAAGTATATGGGAAATGATGAGTGGGAAGTCTCTCCTTACTTCTTCTAGAGTGTTTATCATACGTCCCATTTGAGGGCGATCTTGCGACGCGTTCGCTCCTATGTTATAGACTTTAGTGCAATACGAATCTCAAATCACTTCAATTCACTTATGTTAAAACTCTTAAACAAACTGCAAATCATTTTGTCCTTTGGGGTTGTTTGTCAAACTCTTTTCAGAAAGATCATGTTATTTCTGTTCTACCGCAAACAGATATCGACCCTAACTGCTGGAGCATGAACTTAACATCGCTAATAAAAAACACTTAACAATTTGTAGGCCGAACTACGAACGCTCTGATTTTTTCATTCTTGTCCGAATGAGGATACATAGGCACAAGACAACGAAGTCTTGGCGAGAAACCCTTCCCCCTTTCACCCGTAGTCCTCTAAACTATGTTGACTTTGACTTTCCCATTGCACGAGGGAATACGTAGGCCTAGAACGACGAAGTCCTATCGAGTCTCCTTTTTTGCCTCCTTTTGTTTTTCCTCTTTTCGTTTCCGTTTAGCAAGTAGGCTTTAGATAAACACACCCTTTGATTAGAACAACAAGAGTATATCCCATTGAGTACAACAGACACGAGGAATGCTAACACCTTCCTCTCATGTAATCGACTCTCAAACCCAGGATTTGGTTGCGAGACCATGTCTTTTCCCTTTTTGAGGTTTCTTCGATTGTTTCCTTTCCCCTGTTGGGATGAATAATATTCAGTGGCGACTCTGTTTTTTTGCCAATTGTTTTTCGCAGTTGCGACGATATTCAATGAAGAACTCAAAAAATATGATAAAATATTATACACAAAGCATCAGAACAAAAATAATTGGTAACGCGCTTGAGGGAAATTTCACACACTCCTTACGATATCCTTAAGAGTTTAGTTTCGCCGTTTGCAAATCCATTCATACTTGGTTTTCTCGATATTGTGTGTTGTGGAAAAATTCCACCCGCCTAGAAAAAGCACGAAGGGACTTGGAAAATTTTCCCTTGATCCATCATACTGACCATTGTATTCACGTCTATGACCAGACTTGTCAACCTTTATTTTCTTTTCAAACTGAAGTTTGACTTAAACTTTGAATGACTTGAACACATCCAAAGATTGAGATTTCTTATGAATCAAATATAGGTAGTCATATCTTGAGTAATCATTTATGAATGTAATAACATATTTTTGTCCATTCCAAGAAGCTGTAGATAAAGAACCTCGTATATCAGTATGTATTAATTCCAAGACATCCTTAGCTCTTCCGACATGGAAATTCCTTTTGCCTATCTGTTTAACCTTGATACATTGAATGCATATTTGAAAGTATGATAAATCAAGGGATCCAACAATATCCTCATACATAAGCCTTTGAGTCCTCTGTTTACAAATATGTCCTAATATTGCTTATGCCATAAAGTGGTAGAACACTCATTAAATTTTCGCTTTGTACCATGCGACTCTGTTTGCATTATTATGGTATAAGGGCGTTCAATATCAAACATATAAATATTATCATTTAAAGAAATGTAACTAACGATATTTGAATCATATGAGAGATTAAATTTATTATTTCTAAATAATCAAGAATTATCGTATTTGTCTTAAATAAAAATAGAAATTAGCTTTCGTCAATAGACAGTGCAACAAAAGTCTTAATCAAATTCAAATGAAAACCAGTATTTAATAATAATTACTTGGCAGACGACTCCGTAAGTAACCCATTCTTTTCACAACACGGTACATGCTTGTGGCATTTCTTTTTCATGTGCCTAACTTTCTTGCAGAAGAATAAAGTGGATTTCTTAGGTTGTTCATTTTCCTTTCTTTTGAGAAACGTTTTATGCATGGTTCTTCCTTTTATTTTGAGAACTAGTAGCCATTTGAACACTTGAATCTTCTCTCTCTTCAATCTCTATTCCTCATACACACATTGAGATATAAGCCCATTTAAGGACCATTTGTCTTTCTGAGTATTGTAACTGACTTTGAATTTTCCATAGTGTGTCAAGAGAGAAATTGAAATCAAGTGCACAATCAAATCAATAGAAAGTTCTAACATGCCTTGAGTTTTGATGTGAGATTAGACATTTCTACTATGTACTCCCTTATGTTCCCTTTACCTTTATAACTTATTGAAATGAACTCAGACAAGGTATTATTTGTCTCGACCTTATCATTTTTAGCCAATAATTACTCAACGGTTTCGAAGAACCTTTTAACACTTTCATTCTTAATAATTAAATCTATAATCATTTGATCATCACGAAATACAGTAGAACCAATCTTTTTTTTCTTTTTTTAATAAAAAAACTATAAATCCACAATAACATTAATAAACATGTCAAATAACAAAATATTCATTATACAAGTTAATTAAAACTTAAACAAAATACTAAAAATATACCATTGATTTTAAATTTTTAATTTAAAAATTATGATCCCTCTAACTTTATCTCTATCTCTCTTTTATTACATATTAAAAAAAACCATCATGTTTCCTTTTTCTCTCTTTTTTTCTCACTTTCTTTTCTATAAAAATGCCTAAAGTCATAGAAGGTAGAGAATCCTATTCCAATAATAAGTCCATCCGATAATCTTTTAAGAAACAAATTAAATTTTTAATGAAATTTTCTTATTCATATTCCATTCAATAGTATGTAGAAGACTAGAGCTTTCTCCTAAAGCCGACTCAAAAAGCAAATTTTCATTTTATATAATTTTTATTTCTTTTTCTTTTATTGATAAAATAGTTTATTTTTTCAAAACACTTCTCCCCTTTCTTAATCTTGATACTTTCTTTGCTGTCACTAACCGAAACCGAAACCGAAGCCTCTTCTATGAACAAATACAGCAACTTGTAAAACGGCGTCGTTTCGATCTTGTTCTGGATTCAGTCAAACACGCGGTTACGATTTGTCCGGGACACGCTGTCCTCCCAACCCCTCCAACTTCCTATATCACATATCTCTCTCACGCGCTCATTGCCGCCAAGGTGGCTCTTCCGCAATCAGCCAATACCGCCACCACCACCACCGTCGCCGGAGAATAGTATTTATGGATAATTCTATGTCCAACGGAGATGGCCACTTTAACCGAACATTCTCGTCTTATTCTTCCGCTTCACAGAGGGATGTTCGTTATAGGTATCATTCTCATAATTCTCGATTAAGTTTAATCCAATTCCTTAATTCTCTGATTTTTAGGGTTTTGGAGTTTGTTACAGGTATCACACAAATTTGGATAATAGTAAATTGCATTATCAAAGGAATTCTCTGATATAACAATCAAAATTGTTAACTGTCATCAATCAATTTCACTTTTTATTTATCAATATCAATGAATTGAAGACTGAGCCTATTATTTTGATCATGAATTATCATAGTGGTGTAACAGTTTTTGTTTTCTTTTGGCTGCCATTACAATACCTTATCCTTATATATATTTTTTGCAGCTGTGGCTCTTGTGGTTATGAGCTGAACCTATCCTCCTCAAACCGGAATACAACATCCATCGGATCAAAATATGGGAAGTCCATAAAGCGAGGTATCATATCGTTCTTCAATATTGATGATAACAGGTTTACCCAGGTTGATGAGATACAATGTGTTCCTCATTTTCATAAGCATTCATGGGGCTTATTCCGTCGAAGAACTAAGCTTCTCTGTCGAAAATGTGGAAACCATATTGGAAATGCATACAATGGTTTCACTTCTTCCTTACCACTAGTGTCAGACGGAGCAGAATTATCCCCTAGCTCCAAAGCGGCCAGGAGTGTGAAATATGACATCCGCATTTGGTCATTACAACCTTCATCTTCCGGAGAATCTGGATTGCCTGTATTAGCTTGAAATACCTGGTAAAGAAATGTACTCTATTTCCTTTCTACTTAGTAGTCATTGGAGATATGAAGGTTAAGAGTTCATTATTATATGCAGAGATCCGGCTTGGCATTGTTTTTGTATTTTTCCCTAGTTAAAATGTGAATAATAGCTGTATGTGAAGGTTGCAATAATCGAGTTAAAAAAATACTAAAGGTGTGGGATTCTGTCAAGTTAATAAACATGGAAAAACATCCAATGTATAATACTTAAATTGGTGGGAAGTAAAAGAGAAATTAAGCTAAACAAAGTTGGTCATTGGTGTGGTATGAAGGATTCGATGTAGTATCAGGGCTGCGAGTTGTATCATCTTAGAGATTATTTTGATAAATAACTTAATTAAGTGTTTATATGATAAATGCTTATTATATAAGTACACAAATGAAAGGTGTTTTATCATTTAAAGAAAAAATATCGTTTAATTGTAATCTTACCAGCTGAGTTGTTTTCATCGGAAGATGTTTTTTGTGCTTATCATGGATATGTTTTAAGCCATTTCTTTCATATCATCCTTACACTTCAAGTAACATGCATTTTATGCTGGGAGATAAGTCTAAATATCTTGTTCCCCAGGCCATTTACATGTAGTCTTGATCATTTTTTAGGGTGTGATATTGACTGAGGATAAGAAACATGTACCATTTACGATTAGGCGAACACTAGGAAAAAACTATTACAGTCATAAATATTGTTTATGAGGCAAGCGTGATGATCAAATTAGTATATTCTAATATCACTACCTAACATGGTGATAAGATCATTCTTCTGTGGATGCTTCTACTTTCTACAATGAAATTGCACAATCTTCTCAATTTTGTCAAACATGCAAAATAAATTAAAACACCTACACTAAATGATCCTTAGTTTTAGCACCTTTTTTTGGTTACCTTTTCCACCTTTAGCACTGCTCCTAGTGTCTAAAATGCATCTCCGGTCGCATCCTTTTTACATACTCTGAGCGCAAATTGGTGAGCCATCTTTATTTTGTTAAAATTTAGTTCGGAGATGTATCTTTAGACTCATTCAAATTACGTTCACCCAACGTATGAGCCACCCTTATTTTATTTAAATTTAATCTAGATATGCATCTTTGAAATATTCTTGAGTTCATTTCTCTACTTTTGATTATACCACTTTTGATTATACCACTGAGTACGGTCTCTAACACAATAATAAATATAAAAAAAGAAAGACACAATAATAAATATAAAAAAAAGAAAGCAAAAACTTAGTACAGTCCCTTCCACTTTGCCCTTAAAACAAGTTGGAAATAGAACTTACATGTATATTTGTTCAATCTCTTTTACAATATTGACAAAACAACTTATTTAATATTTGTTAAAAACTAGGAAATTTGATAGGAGAGGAGATTGCCTTCTACTTGTTGTTTGCATGATAGGTTCAAAATGAATAGTTACTCTGACTTAATTACATGTTATGTTATGACTGTTGTCTTGTTTATTGTTCAAGAAGACACTTTGATTAGCAAAAGCATTACATATTTAAGTCTTAATGGTTATAAGAAAATGTGTTAGAACTTTGTCAATATTGTCCACTAGGAAATGCATCATCTTTCAAGGAATATAAATGATAAGGTGCAAGAGTTTGTAACAAAGGTGCTATCTGGAGTAGTTTTTTAGTTAACAAGTGACAGTCAGTTATCATCCACTTGCTTAGCATTTGCATTTTCAACTATTCAATTGATATTAGTTTAAAAAGTAGGTTATGGAGGTGCACCTCTAAAATATTTTGGAAATGTATATTTGAATTAACTTTGAGAAAAATGAGGTGGTTCACTCACGAAGTACTAATGTATATATTTTAAATATGTTAGGAGATACATCTTTAAAATATGAAAAGACAAATTTAAATTTTCAGTATGCCCATCCTCATTTAATGTGTAGGAAATGTAATGTCCTTTCTTTTTTCCTCCATTACCACCGATATGTTTGGTTTAGTTTTTAGAAGTGGTAAAGAGAATTCCAGAGATGTCAAATTGATTTTGGAATTATTTTGAATTTTATGATTCTTCTAAAGTAGAATTGATTCTGCGCCGATAATTGATTCAACTTAAAGTTAAAATTTATAATTTTTGAGTTTAAACGTGATTTTTACATTGAAATTTATTATTCAACTCATTTATAAATAAATTTATCTGAATATAAATTACTTTATCTTCAATTTACTTTTAACTAAACTCAATTCTCTTATAATAAATTCATTCAAAATTAAATTTCCTGGTCTGTTAGTAATGAGACCCATTAAATTTAGAAAGGAGTTAGATTTGATCAATTTTGCAAAGCATAAAAAAATTAATGTTTTTCCTTTGTTGAATTTTTCTGATTTATATTTAACTTTTTTTTCTTTTTAATCTTTTGTTCAGAATAAGATATATATATATATATATATATATATATATATATATATATATATATATATATATATATATATATATATATATATATATATATATATATATATATATATATATATATATATATATATATATATATATATATATATATATATATATATATATATATTGAAATACCTCTATGAATTGATGCATATGTTTGGAAAAATTCTATAAAAATTTGTAATAATCATGTTGTTTCAATAGTAACTGGTTAACATAATGTTGTAACTGATTAGAACTATAGCATTTTCTAAAAATTTCGCGCATGTAATCAGTCACAGATTTTGTGTAATCAGTTACGATTGTTTGAAAATGTGAAAAACAATTTTGTAACAACATGGTTAGGTTTTAAAATATTTTGAAAGTTGTATGAAAGGTTTGAGATGAATATGCATGATTTATTCTGAGCCATTGAAATATATAATATGAATTGTAATGCATACTCTAACTATCTTAATTCTTTCTTTTAATTTCTAAAATTTTATGATCATTTGAGTTTGATTGCGTTAGCCTTCAAGCTTTGTCTTGTTTTTGTTAATGTGTTTGTCTTTATCAAAATTATAACCAAAGTCAAGAAGAATTTTTATTCACAATCTTTCTATTTTGATGATGACAAACAAAGTTTCTTATTCATTATTGAGTTGATTCAATATATGAGTTTTGCAAATTTTGTGGAGCAATTAGAATCTCCCCTATCTTGTATATCAACCCATTTCTTTTACAATTTAAGATTTTCTCTTATAAAAATATTATGAGCAATGACAAGTACAATGCTTATTATTTATCATATTTTGACATCACCAAAAAGAAGAAAAACTAGATAGGGAAGTGGTAACATAGGAAATATATATCATCTAATCGCTTCATTAGACATTTATCTTAAAGATTTTGATGTAAAAGTTGATTATCAATGTTGATGTTTCTTCAAAACATTTTTTCATTTAATGAAAGTTTTATAACTACCATATCATATGATCTTGTATCTTGAAGGATCGATCATGATTTGACAATACTAATACTAGCATATGATCTTCATATACTTACAAAATAAATAATAATACTTAGGTATGCAATTTTCTTTTAAGTCCTCTTGAGTTAGATATCTTCTTTACTTATACATACTCACCATATGACCATAAGAAATTATCATAATTTCTTATGTAACAAGAATTAAAAATATAATTTTTTATATTGTAATAAAAACAAGTAGGTATGGAAACACTTTCAATAAAACATTTTCAATATCATTTATCTCACAATATCACTCAAAGATTTGTCTTAAAAAAAATGTTTGTTCTAAAATTTAGAAATTGATAAAATATATGCTAGTTATAATAGCTGTGAAAGTGAATTTTTATAAATGTATCAAATATTTATTAAAAAAAAAAGCCTAAGCATCTATAGCCAAGTGTTAGCTCTGATGCCTAAGACTCTCGGATGTATGGGACAGGGGTATTGTTCTTCCCATCTTTAGGGATGCTCCTTCTTTGTGAAAAGTTATAATTGTTTTTAGTATATTTTCAAACGCATTTAAAATATTATAAATAAAGACGTTACAAGTGAAATATTTTTATTTTGTTCAAAAAAAAATTCAAAATACATCTCCAAATTTTAAAGATGCATTTTTATAAAGGTTGCCACCCCTGAATATTATAATTTTACATCCTTTTGCAAGATATGTTTGTTGTTGGTAGAGAAATATTGGTGGGGTTAGTTTTATGGGAATGTCTAAGATAATACAAAATGTTAGATCTTGTATTGAGGGTCTGTTGCAAAACACGAACAAGAAGATGATGATGAAGACGGTATGATAAAAATTGCACAAAATAATTCTAAAATGTGTGTTTACACTAATCTTTAGGTTATATTCGCCCCCACCAATTTATACAAATTGGATGCAAAAGAGTTAACCGACGAATCTCCTTCACGATACTTTTAAAACCTTAACATGAATCACACATTCACATTAAGTATATCGATTAATAATATTTTATTGAATAAAGTCTCTTCATCTATTCTCGTGTACTAGAAAAATAAAAAAAATGACTTAGATATAAATTTTGTCTCAGAAATATATTATTTTCATATATCTTTTATGGATGATAAGTATCTCTATTTATATAAAACTTGTACTAATTATTGAGGAGAAACGATGTTTCAATAGTTTAAACATGACCATTCATGAATCATTATATATCAATAATAGCAAATTATTTCATGAAAAGTTGTGTTGATATGATGGTTGCACCTTATGATCACACACCTTATCACAATAAAGTTTTTGGTTCAATTCTAGAGAGTTGCAACTTTTGACCATTTATTTTGATAATTTAACCATTATTATTTCTCAATGTAATATTTTGGAAACTTCTCCAACAAGCCCCCACCATTTTCAAAATATATCTAAATCCATTATTCATGAAATTTCATGGTTTCAGATAAAGGTATCTTATAATTTGAACTAGTACTTAGTAAGTTAAGTTTTCACTCATCCCCGAATAGATTGGTAGACAAGTTTTGAATCAATTATTCATTAGAACAAGCGTGCATAACT